ATTAAAAAGAAATAAGCATGATCCTTAAATAATACTTGATGTAGTTGAAGAAAATAATATAAATAGAAAATTTAAGTTATTTCTAAAGGTGAGAATGGTTAAGTTAACTACAAAGTCATTGGACAGGTGATTTTTAAATTGATTTTTATAATTTCTTTTACATTTTAGCTTTGTCAGTTTAGTTTATCAGTTATCTGATATTATAAATAGGCTTTGTGGAATGTTTTACTCATTTGCCAAGGCAGGAATGTGCATATAATAGTGTTAAATCCATCAATCAAACTGTAAGGATCTATTTTGAAAATTGGGCTCCAAAATAACATAATCTGCCACAGAGAGCTTTCTCTGGCAAGTATAAGTCCAAATAATATTTTTTGTTTGTTGTTTCTTTGTTTTTTTGAGATGGAGCCTTGCTCTGTCACCAGGCTGGAGTGCAGTAGCATGATCTCAGCTCACTGCAACCTCTGCCTCCTGGGCTCAAGCGATTCTCCTGCCTCAGTCTCCTGAGTAGTTAGGACTACAGTCATGTGCCACCACATCTAGCTAATTTTTTTTTTTTTGGTATTTTTAGTAGAGACAGGGTTTCACCATGTTGGCCAGGATGGTCTCAGTCTCTTTACCTCATGAACCACCTGCCTTGGCGTCCCAAAGTGCTGGGATTACAGGTGTGAGCCACCATGCCTGGCCCCAAATAATTTTTATATATCATTTATTAATATAGTCCTTGGAAAACCACAGGAGGTAGCAGATAGATGCATTCTCATGACCTTTCTGAGCACAGTTGGCAGAACTGCAATCTGATTGGGATTTTTCTCTGTAGGGTCAGATGAGTAATGTTGGGCCCAGACTGGAAATATCAGCAGTACAGCCCACAGAGAAAGGCTGGGAGGACTGAGTTGACATGGATGATTCAAGCACAGTCACAGAAATTTACAAAAAACAGAGAGTAGAAAAGTTCCTGGGCAAGACAGGAACATCTTGTAAAGCTTGGTCTAGAAGAAGAATGCAAAAGAGAAATAGTTGCAAACCAGATACAAAAAGCCTCACATTGTATTATTTAACTTATAAACAATGTCTAGAAGAGGAAAATCGGGAAAAACAGAAAGTATGTTCATGGTTACCAGTGCCTGAGGGGACATGAGAATGGGGAATGACTGCTTATGAGTATAGGCTTCTTTTGAGACAATGAAAATTTTCAGGAATTAGACAGTGGTGATGGATGTACAACTCTGAACATACTAAAACCAATGAATTGTACTCTTTAAAAGGATAATCTTGTGTTATATGAATTATACGCCACTGCAAGTATTACTAAAAACAAGAGAGGGGAAATGGTTATTCTAGTACTAAGTTTGAATAATAAATCTCTTTTAAAGGGATAATAAATCCCTTTTGAGGCAGTATCCAAAAAGGACTCTCTTTGTTTTAAATTTTTAGGCATACTGTTGTCTTCCCAATATCCAAGTCCTTTTCTCCACCATGTTACCATTAATGGATAATCTGTGACTTTGTTTTTTCAGTTTTCTTGAGAGAAAGTCTCTGTCGGCTCACTGCAACCTCTGCCTCCTGGTTTCAAACAATTTTCCTGCCTCAGCCTCCCTAGAAGCTGGGGTTACAGGCATGTTCCACCATACCCGCCTACCTTTTGTATTTTTAGTAGAGACAGGGTTTCACCATGTTAGCCAGGCTGGCCTCAAACTCCTGACCTCAAATGATCTGCCTGCTTTGGCTTCCTAAAGTGCTGGGATTACAGGCATGAGCCACTGCGCCCCATCAATCTGTGATTCCTAAGCTAATTTGCACCTTCCTGCAGAGAACCAACTTGTCTCAGTTAGGTAGACACAGATTTCTATTTCTCTGGAGCTGCAATAATGATATAAAAAAGCTAGTTCAAATTTAAAGAATAATATCTGGCATAAAAATATGATTATAACTAATATCATATATCAAATTTAAATACTCATTGACTCTAGAAAAATATCTCAACTTACTTTGATTTTATGCATGAAGAGGTGAAGTTTCTATAGTTCTTTGGAGATTTAGGCTCTTGTGGAATTGCCATTTCTTTATGTTCCCCCCCCGCCCTTTTTTTTTTAGACAAGAGTTTTGCTGTTGTCCAGGCTGGAGTACAGTGGCGTGTTCTCGGCTCACTGCGACCTCTGTCTCCAGGGTTCAGGCGATTCTCCTCCTCAGCCTCCTGAGTAGCTGGGATTACAGGCACATGCCACCATGCTTGGCTAATTTCTGTATTTTTAGTAGAGACGGAGTTTCACTATGTTGGTCAGGCTGGTTTCAAACTCCTGACCTCCTTATCTACCTGCCTCAGCCTCCCAAAGTTCTGGGAATATAGGCATGATCAACCACACTTGGCCACTTTATTTTATTTTGTTTTTGTTTGTTTGTTTTTTATTGTACTTTAGGTTCTGGAGTACCTGAGCAGATCATGCAGGATTGTTGCATAGGTACATATATGGCAATGTGGTTTGCTGCCTCCATCACCCCGTCACCTGTATCTGGCATTTATCCCCATGTTATCCCTCCCCAACCTCCCCACGCCCTACTCTCTCTCCGCTAGGACCCCACGACAGACCCCAGTGTGTGATGCTCCTGTCCCTGTGTCCATGTGTTCTCATTGTTCAACATCCACCTATGAGTGAGAACATGCGGCGTTTGGTTTTCTGTTCATGTGTCAGTTTGCTGAGAATGATGGTTTCCAGATTCATCCATGTCCTTACAAAGGACATGAAGTCATCGTCTTTTATGGCTGCATAGTATTCCATGGTGTATATGTGCCACGTTTTCCTTGTCCAGTCTACCATCAATGGGCATTTGGATTGGTTCCGGGTCTTTGCTATTGCAAACAGTGCCGCAGTGAACATACGTGTGCATGTATCTTTATAATAGAACAATTTATAATATTTTGGGTATATACTCAGTAATGGGATTGCTGGGTCCAATGGAATTTCTATTTCTAGGTCATTGAGGAATTGCCACACTGTCTTCCACAATGGTTGAACTAATTTACACTCCCACCAACAGTGTAAAAGTGTTCCTATTTCTCCACATCCTCTCCAGCATCTGTTGTCTCCAGATTTTTTAATGATTGCCCTTCTAACTGGCATGAGATGGCATCTCAATGTGGTTTTGATTTGCATTTTTCTAATGATCAGTGATGATGAGCATTTTTTCATGTTTGTTGGCCTCATATATGTCTTCTTTTGAAAAGTGTCTGTTCATATTCTTCGCCCACTTTTGAATGTGTTCATTTGGTTTTTTCTTATAAATCTGTTTTAGCTCTTTGTAGATTCTGGATATTAGCCATTTGTCAGATGGGTAAATTGCAAAGGTTTTTTTCCATTCTGTTGGTTGCCAGTTCACTCTAATGATTGTTTCTTTTGCTGTATAGAAGCTCTGGAGTTTAATTAAATGCCACTGTCTATTTTGGCTTCTGTTGCCAATGCTTTTGGTGTTTTAGTCACGAAGTCCTTGCCTATGCCCATGTCCTGAATGGTATTGCCTAGGTTTCCTTCTGGCGTTTTCATGGTGTTAGGTTTGTGTTTAAGTCTTTAATCCATCTGGAGTTAATTTTAGCATAAGGTGTCAGGAAGGGGTCCAGTTTCTGGTTTCTTCCACATGGCTAGCCCGTTTTCCCAACACCATTTATTAAACGGGGAAATCTTTCCCCATTACTTGTTTTTGTGAGGTTTGTCAAAGATTCGATAGTTGTAGATGTTGCGTCTGAGGCCCTTGTTGTTTTCCATCAGCCTATATCTCTGTTTTGGTACCAATAACGTACTGTTTTGATTACTGTAGCGTAGTATATAGTTTGAAGTCAGGTAGCATGATGCCTCCAGCTTTGTTCTTTTTGCTTATTATTGTCTTGGCTATGTGGGCTCTCTTTTGGTTCCACATGAATTTTAAAGTGTTTTTTTCAAGTTTTGTGAAGAGGGTTGTAGGTATCTTGACGGGGATAGCATTGAATCTATAAATTACTTTGGGCAGTATGGCCATCTTTACAATATTGATTCTTCCTAACCATGAGCATGGAATGTTTTTCCATCTGTTTGTGTCCTTTCTTATTTCATTAAGCAGTGGTTTGTAGTTCTGCTTGAAGAGGTCCTTTCCATTCTTTGTTAGTTGTATTCCTATGTATTTTATTCTCTTTGTAGCAATTGTGAATGGGAGTTGGCTCTTGATTTGACTCTCTGTTTGTCTGTTATTGGTGTGTAGAAATGCTTGTGATTTCTGCACATTGATTTTGTATCCTGAGACTGTGCTGAAGTTGCTTATCAGTTTAAAGAGATTTGGGGCTGAGACAATAGGGTCTCCTAAATATACAGTCATGTCATCTGCAAATAAAGATAATTTGACTTCCTCCTTTCCTAATTGAATACCCTTTATTTCTTTTTCTTGCATGATTGCTCTGGCTAGAACTTCCAATACTATACTGAATAGGAATGGTGAGAGAGGGCATCCTTGTCTAGTGGCAGATTTCAAAGGGAACGCTTCCAGTTTTTGCCCATTCCATATGATATTGGCGTGGGTTTGTCATAAATAGCTTTTATTATTTTGACATACGTTTCATTGAGATACCTAGGTTATTGAGAGTTTTTAGCATAAAGGGCTGTTGAATTTTCTCAAAGGCTTTCTCTGCATCTATTGAGATAATCATGCGGTTTTTGCCTTTGGTTCTGTTTATGTGGTGGATTACATTTATAGACTTGCAAATGTTGAACCAGCCTTGCATACCCGGGATAAAGCATACTTAATCGTGATGAATAAGCTTTTTGATGTACTGTTGCAATAGGTTTGTCAGTATTTTATTGAAGATTTTTGCATGTATGTTCATCATGGATATTGGCCTGAAGTTTTCTTTTTTTTGTTGAGTCTTTGCCAGATTTTGGTATCAGGATGATGTTGGTCTAATAAAATGATCTGGGAAGGATTCCCTCTTTCTGTACTGTTTGGAATAGTTTCAGAAGCAGTGGTATCAACTCCTCTTTGTATGTCTGGTAGAATTCGGCTGTGAAACCATCTGGACCTGAACTTTTTTTGGTTGGTAGGCTATTAATTGCTGCCTCAACTTCAGCCCTTGTTATTGGTCTATTCAGGGTTTCAACTTCTTTGTGGTTTAGTCTTGGGGGAGGGTGCAGGGGTCTGGAGTTTATCCATTTCTTCCAGGTTTACTGGTTTATGTGCATAGAGTTGTTTATAGTAATCTCTGATGGTTGTTTGCATTTCTGAGAAATCGGTGGTGACATCCTCATCATTTTTTATTTCATTGATTTGATTCTTCTCTCTTTTCTTTTTTATTAATCTGGCTAGTGGTCTATTTTGTTCATGTTTTCAAAAAACCAGCTCCTGGATTTTTGATTTTTTGAAGGGTTTTTGTGTCTTTGTCTCCTTCAGTTTTGCTCTGATCTCAGTTTTTTCTTGTCTCCTGCTAGCATTTGAGTTTTTTGGATCTTGCTCCTCTAGTTCTTTCAATTTTGATGATAGGGTGTCAATTTTAGATCTTTTCTTGCTTCTCATGTGGGCATTTATTGCTGTAAATTTCCCTCTAGACACTGATTTAAAGTGTCCCAGAGATTCTGGTATGTTGTGTCTTCTTTCTCATTGGTTTCGAAGAACATCTTTATTTCTGCCTTCATTTTATTGTTTATCCAGTCGACATTCAGGAGCCAGTTGTTCAGTTTCCATGAAGTTGTGCAATTCTGAGTTGGTTTATTAATCCTGAGTTCTAATTTGATTGCTTTGTGGTCTGAGAGGATGTTTGTCATGATTTCCAGTTTTTTTCATTTGCTGAGGAGTGTTTTACTTCCAATTATGTGGTCAATTCTAGAGTAAGTGCAATGTGGTGCTGAGAAGAATGTATATTCTGTGGATTTGGGGTGGAGAGTTCTGTAGATGTCTATTAGGTCCACTTCGTCCAGATCTGATTTCAAGTCCTGGATATCCTTGTTAATTTTCTGTTGCATTGACCTGTTTAATATTGACAGTAGAGTGTTAAAGTCTCCCACTATTACTGTGTGGGAGTCTAAGTCTCTTTGACGGTCATTATGAACTTGCTTTATGTATCTGGGTGTTCCTGTGTTGGGTGCGTATATATTTAGGTTCAATAGATTTTCTTCTTGCATTGATCCTTTTACCATTATGTAATGCCCTTCTTTGTCTCTTTTGATCTTTGTTGGTTTAAATTCTATTTTATCAGAGACTAGGATTGCAACTTCAGCTTTTTTTGCTCTCAGTTTGCTTGGTAAATCTTCCTCCATCCCTTTATTTTGAGCCTTTGTGTGTCCTTGCACATGAGATGGGTTTTCTGAATGCAGCACATTGATGGGTCTTGACTTTTTATCCAATTTGCCAGTCTATGTCTTTTGATTGGGGCATTTAGCCCATTTACATTTAAGGTTATTATTGTTATATGTGAATTTGAACCTGCCATTTTGATGCTAGCTCATTGTTTTGCCCATTAGTTGACTCGGTTTCTTCATTTTGTCAATGGTCTTTACCATTTGGTACATTTTTGGAGTGGCTGGTCCTGGTTGTTCCTTTCTATGTTTAGTACTTCTTGGAGGACCTCTTGTAAGGCAGGCCTGGTGGTGACAAACTCTATCAACAATAGCTTGTCCATAAAGGATTTTCTTTCTCCTTCGCTTATAAAGCTTAGTTTGGCTGGGTATGAAATCCCTTTCTTTAAGGATGTTGAATATTGGCCCCCACTCTTTTCTGGCTTGTGGGTTTCTGCCAGGAGATCCACTGTGTCTGATGGGCTTCCCTTTGTGGGTTACCCAACCTTTCTTTCTTACTGCCCTTAGCATTTTTTCCTTCATTTCAAGCCTGGTGAATCTGACAATTATGTGCCTTGGGGTTGCTCTACTTGAGGAATATCTTTGTGGTGTTCTCTGCATTTTCTGGACTTGAATATTGGCCTGCTTTGCTAGGTTGGGAAATTTTCCTGGATAATATCCTGAAGAGTGTTTTTGAGCTGGGATTCATTTTCTCCATCATATTCAGGTACACCTATCAAATATAGATTAGGTCTTTTCACATAATTCCATATTTCTTGGAGGCTCTGTTCATTTCTTTTCACTGGTTTTCCTCTAGTCTTGCCTTCTCATTTTATTTCATTGAGTTGATGTTCAATCTCTGGTATCCGTTCTTTTGCTTGGTTGATTCGGCTCTTGAAACTTGTGTATGCTTCACAAAGTTATCATGTTGTGTTTTTCAGCTCCATCAAGTCATTTATATTCTTCTTTAAGCTGTTTATTCTCACTAGCATTTCATCTAACCTTTTTTCAACGTTCTTAGTTTCTTTGCAGTGGGTTAGAACATGTTTTTTTAGCTTGGAGAAGTTTGTTATTGCCTACCCTTTGAAGTCTGTTTCTGTCAATTCATCAGACTTATTATCCATCCAGTTATTCCTTTGCTCGTGAGGAGTTGAGATCCCTTGGAGGAGGAGAGGTGTTCTGGTTTTTGGTGTTTTCATCCTTTTTGTGCTGGTTTCTTTCCATCTTCATGGATTTATCTACCTGTGGTCTTTATAATTGGTAACTTTCAGATAGGGCATCTGAGCGGACACCTTTTTTGTTGATGTTGAAGTTATTTCTCTCTGTTTTTTAGTTTTCCTTCTACCAGTCAGGCCCCTCTGCTCTAGGACTGCTGGAGGTCCACTCCAGACCCTGCTTGCCTGGGGATCACCTGCGGCGGCTGCAGAGCAGTAAGGGTTGCTGCCGATTTCGTCTTCTGTTATCTTCATCCCAGATGGGTACCATCAGATGTCAGCCTGAGCTCTCCTTTATGAGGTGTCTCTTTGGATATATAGGAGTTGGGGTGCTGCTTGAGGAGACAGTTTGTCCCTTATAGGAGCTCAAGTGTTGAGCTGGGACTCCATTGTTTCATTCAGAGCTGCAGGACATGTATGTTTATGTCTGCTGCAGCAGAATCCATAACCACCTTTTTTCCCAGGTGCTCTGTCCTGGGAAGGTGGGTCTATTTTCATAAGTTTCTGATGTGTTGCTGCCTTTTTTCAGAGATGCCCTGCCCAGTAAGGAGGTATTCTAGTCAGAGTCTGAGCTGCTGTGGGTTATGCCCAGCTGTTATGTGAACTTCCTTGTGGTTTTATTTACAGAAGTACAGTTAGAATTACGTCGGTAATGGCATTCTGCCTCAGTAATGGTGAACTGTCTCGGTAATGGTGGACTGCTTTGGTAATGGTGGACTGCCTCGGTAATGGCTGATGCCCTTCCCCCCACTGAGCTCGATGTCCCAGGTCCAGCTGTACTTGCTGCGAAACTCTCAATCCTGAGTGTTTCAGATTGCTGGTCTTTGTATGGGTGGGACCACCTGAGCCAGATCACCTGGCTCCCTGTTTCAATCCCTTTTTTTTCAGTTGAATGGGTGTCTCTGTATCCCAGGCATTCCAGGTGCCAGTTGAAATGGCCGCCCAGATTTGTGTGGGTTTCTGTGCAGAGACTCGAGGTGCCAGCTGAAATAGCCATGCTGGAAACTCATGGCACTTTTCAGCCCAGGAATCTCCTGGTCTGTGGGCAGTAAAAACATTTGGAAATGCAGTGATCACTCACCCTCTGCGTTGTTCTCACTGGGAACTGCACTGCAGAGCTGTTCCTTTCTAGCTCTAGCTGTTTTGGATCTCTGGCCACAGTTCTGTATTTTTTAAGTGGAGCATTTAGGCCATTTACATTCAATGTCAGTATTCAGATGTGAAGTATTGTTGTAGTCACTGTGCTATTTGTTGCCTTTGTATCTTGTTTTTTTCTTTTTTAATAGTAGTTTTGTTTTACAGGTCCTGTGAGATTTATGCTTTAAATAGGTTCTGTTTTGATGTGTTTCCAGGATTTGTTTCAAGATTTAGAGCTTCTTTTACCAGTTCTTGTAATGCTGGCTTGATAGTAACGAATTCTCTCAGCATTTGTTTGTCTGAAAAAGACCAGATTTTCCTTCCTTTATAAAGCTTAGTTTTTTGCTGAATACAGAATTCTTGGTTGATAATTGTTTTGTTTAAGAAGGCTGAAGATAGGGCCCCAATCCCTTCTAGCTTCTAGTTCCTACTGAGAAATCTGCTGTTAATCTGATAAGTTTTCCTTTATAGGTTACCTGGTGCTTTTGCCTCACCACTCTTAAGACTCTTTCCTTTGCTTAACTGTAGATAACTAAGTGACAGTGTGTTTAGGCAATGATCTTTTTGTGATGACTTTCCCAAGTGTTCTTTGAGTTTCTTGTATTTGGATGTTTACGTCTCTAGCAAGGCAAAGGAAGTTTTTCTTGATTATTCCCCTAAATATGTTTTTCAAACTTTATATTTCTTTTCTTTCTCAGGAACATCAATTATTCTTAGGTTAGGTCATTTAACATAATCCCAAACTTCTTAGAGACTTTGTTCATTTTTTAGAATTCTTTTTTCTTTGTCTTTGTCAGACTGAGTTAATTCAAATCCCTTGTCTTGGAGCCCTGAAGTTCTTTCCTCTGCTTGTTCAGTTCTATTGCTGAGGCTTTCCAGTGCATTCTGCATTTCTCTAAGTGTATTTTTTGTTTCCTGAAGTTGTGATTGTTTTTTTTAACTATGCTATCCATTTAACTGAAGATTTCTCCTCTCATTTCTTGTATTGTTTTTTGGATGTCTTCAAATTGGACTTCACATTTCTCTGGTGCCTGTTTGATTAGCTTAATAATTAACCTTCTACATTTTTTTTTTTTCAGGTAAATCAGGGGTTTCTTCTTTGTTTCAATCCATTGCTGGTGAACTAGTGTGATTTTTTTTTGGGGTGCTAAAGAACTTTGTTTTTTCATATTACCAGAATTGTTTTTCTGGTTACTTCTCATTTGGGTAGGCTATGTTAGAGGGAAGATCTGGGACTCAAGGCTGCTGTTCAGATTCTTTTGTACCACAAGGTGTTCCCTTGACGTATTGCTCTCTCCCTTTTTCTCATCTTCCTGAGAGCTGAGCAGTAGTGATTGTTATTTTGCTTCTGGATCTAGCCACTCAGGAGGGTGGGCTACCAGGCTCTGGCTGGTACTGGGGATTGTCTGCACAGAGTCCTGTGATGTGAACTATATTCTGGTCTCTCAGCTGTGGATACCAGCACCTACTCTGGTGGAGGTGGCAGAGGAGTAAAATGGTCTCTAT